TACCGCCTGGTTGCACCAAAACGTGTCGCCACTCTACGCGTTGCCGCCATGGCCGCCGTGGCACTTGAGCTCGTCGCTGCCAAGCTGGTCCATCATCTCCCTCCTCTCTCATGCGTCTTAGGTTGAGTAACCCTAGACCTTGCATATCTCATGATAGAGACCTACCTTTTGTTGCCGTCTAACCAGAACGGTGGGAGCACCACCGTGCTCCGTGCGCCGCCGCCGCGGCATGCACGCGGTCGGAGCTCACCTCCGTCTCATTAGAGCCCAAACCACCATAGATAGATTTGTTAGGATTCTGCGTAGCCGTAGCGCACATCATCAGAGCACACAATGGCTGGAGAACGCCGGCGTACCGCCGCGCTACCTCCGTCGTCCACCATCGCCGCCGGCGAGCCATCTCGGGTGAACCCTAGGTCGCGTATTCACCACCAACCGACGCGGCTTGATGAGAGGAACACGTTGGTGTCACAGTCGTTGCCGATGATCTCGTCGCCAGTGAGATAGGGCTGGCTAGAGCACCTCCTCTACTCTGGAGTCGCTGACGTGTGGGTCCTACTGACCAGCGGCCCCATCTGTCAGTCTGTGTATATTGTGATTTTTGATTTATTTTTCAGATTTGAATGTATGTTTTAAAAATTCATATCTCAAGCTAGGAGTGTCTAATTTTGGTGAACCAAATTTTGTTGGATTCTTCATGAAGTTTAGTATTTGATAAAAATATAAAATGCACTATTTTTGGTATTTTTCTAGGAGAATTAAATAAAGCTAACTAAGTGCTTTTAAATTGTTTGCAATATTGTAAAATACATAACTTGAGCTAGGGAAGTGATAAAATTATGATTCTAATATTGCTGGTCTTATGTTGACATGATCTAGCTAGAAAAATACTAAACTTGTAGTACACTTGATTGGAGTAAGATCTTTCTATTTATATTTTAATAAATGGTGTTTTCTAAGGAAATTCATAAGGATAAAAATAAGTAATATATTGACATGCAAATTTTTGTATAGTGTTAATGAGTTTTAGGGAAGCTAAAAAAATATGAAATCTATTGCTTGACACTTTTCAATAGGCTAAACTATTTTTGCTAAAATAAACCTAAGCAACTTATTATTTTTGTATAGAGGGCTATACTTATACAATTAGCATGAAATTTGCACAGTATACTTTTGGGGTCATATGTGTGCTACTGTAATTTTATATGAATTTATAGAGCAATAGAAATATTTATCTCAAAAATCACCTTATTATATAAAGAAATTAATAAGGGTATTTAATACATTAGTTTGGCATAAACATAATGTTTTCTGTTGTCCTTGTGATGCATAGGATTTGCTGATAATGGTAGTTGTGCTTGAAGTTGATTGGTTATAAATAGCTACTTAATTATTGCTTTATAATTCCGCTAGATGGCTGCAGGAGTAGTTTCTGTTGTATTGATAATTTATGATGATAATTACATTTCCTGTGAAACTTGTTATTAATAAAGTTATAGATAACTTACTTATCTTACTGGTGTCAAATTTTCATGGTAATAGACTAAGTGGTTTGGGAGTTATAGCTGTTAGAAATCTGCTGTCAGAATTTGCTTGTCTACTGGATAGATCGGGATGATTGAATTGTTTAACCTATATAGCTATTAAATCATCTTGTGATGACTAAATCAAAGTTGTAGGTAATTTTATGACCTTTCCAGAAAGTCCTAGAACACAACAATTGGTTGAGTAAAACTCCAGTTATGATCTAAACTTGTAGCTACTGTGTTGTGGTCCAGAAATGGACTTAGTGTGGATTCTTGAAAATTCTAGAGAAGAGATATGCACCTACTCAGTAAATAAGAATTCAACTTGGTTATCATCTAAGTAACTTGATATAATCATCAGCATAGAATCATTCACGTTCTCATGTCATATCATTCACAATTCTTCTTATGCATCCATGATACTTGCTTTATGCATATGCATGCAATAGGTGCAGCGGAAGAAATCACATTGGTAGAACTCGAAGCCGATCCACAAGAGGAGAACCAGAAAGCTCAGCACTAAGAAGCTGCAGGCAAAGGCGAGCCTGAAGTTGATCATCTCCAAGAGTGCCCTGACCACCAGCCGGCCACGTTTGTGAAAGGCAAACCCTGGAGCATTCTAAGTCTCCCTTGTTTTACAAAATATTACTTGAGTCATGTATGTTTGATGCATTAGGTTATAAGAGTTGACTAGGTAGCGTGCCCGTACGTTGCTACGGGACAACTAAACTTTTATACTAAAAACACATGGATCGCATGATAAGATAACAATACTGTAAAATTAAATACGGCCGTTAAAGTGATATTTAATTCAAAAAGCAAAGTTCGTGAAATTAACACAGAGCACGGCGTCGCAGACTCACCAACTCTACTGATTTATCTCAACTCTGATTTTTTTATGCCTACAGGCTACAGCAAATGAAACTATACACCAGCGTAAAGTACCCAGAAAAATAGAGCCTTGAGAGACCCGCTTGCGATTGTGTGACACTGAGATTGCATACAAACAGGCGTGCAAACTACTTGTGCATGATAATCTGACTTCCAAGAGCAGTAGCGGTGGTAGATGTAACTCTGCATACATAAAAGTAAAGGGATAATGAGTTAATAGCGTTGCTTGTTCAAAAATGGCTTGCAAAATCTCAATGTTATATGTATACATCGGCACATCAGTAGGGCTCACAGAGTTGCAAAGACATGTCCCATTAAGTAACAACGTTTGACCATGCATGATAACAATTCATGAACGAAAAAAATTCAGAAGATCGATCAAACTATCATTTCAGTCCTGTCTAATCTATACTATAAGTAATCGGTACCAATTTTTTTGGGTATAAATAGCAGCAGCCTAGTTTGAAGAGGACAAACTCGGATCATGCACAAAGTACCATAAATGACTTACGAAAACTATGGGGTATCTATGAAACAAAGGTACTCACGACATCACCTAATCACCTGAATCGGATTGACTGCTTCAAAAATCACTGTGAGTGCTGGTCACCTAATGCCAATGCCGTACAAGAGATGCAGCATGAGACAAAGAAGAGAAGAACCTGCATAGGACATACATTAAAATCAGAATGTCAGTAACTATTTTCATCCTCCCCAGTGGATTTCTAGGTTGTACATTTTTTTGAAACATATCATTTCATACAGAAGATTGCAAAAAAACGAACACAACCTATTTATGATATGGGTTGTAAATGTATCCCTAGTGATTTAACATTCCAAAATATCCTCATCAGCAGTCAAGTACCCAGCATATATAGTAGATCAGTTCTAAATTGCTCTTAGGTGCTGCCATGCAAATAAGAGATTTGTAAAGAGCTAAACTGCGACCACTTATGACCCGTAAGCTAATCATATACATATCATATATTAATCAAAGTATCAATGCGTTCTCATGATTACAACCAAATCAATTTTTCTTTAACAACCGTAAGATAGTGTTACGTTCATTATCAGGTAGCGAGCTAGTAACCACAAGGCATGAGAATAGATGAATCACCTTTGCTAGTGATGAGATGGAGTTGTCGGCGCACTTGTATTAGGTATAGACTCTAGATCTGGCATAAAATTATTTAGTATCTGCACTTGTACAATGGACTTAATTCTACAAATAAACTAAGCGCATGAGAAGAGATGAATCACCTTTTGCTATGGCTGAGATGGAGTCGATGGCATACATGTATCAGCTCCAAACACTGGAGGTGGTAGAAAATTATTTAGTATCCGTATTTGTATAGTGGACTTAATTCTACAAGTAAACAAAGCTCATTCTGAATAAACATAGATATATTTATCCCGACAATACTTGCAGAATGGATCATCAATACAAGTTTAGCTAAACCAAAATAAATTATCTTGATAACTTGTTGCAATTTATTACTGAACCAAGGGATAACACAGACTACTTATGATATACAAAGGATTGGAAAACACTGATTCAGGTCTAAAAAGGATTTAAAAAACATTCTATTTAGCTCTAAACTCATTCGAATTTTGATGGAATTTCTGAATATTGATTTGTGGACCTCATGGTGGGCTAGAGATGTTAAGGATAGTAAACTACAGCGGCAGTAAGGTACCAACATGAGTGAAAGATCTTAGTTTGTTCAGCAATACTTGACTGAGCTCCTTCTAGTTGGTTGTACAACGTGTGAGGAATTTCCTGATTTTTCTCATTTCAGGGTTCTTCGGGTTCTTCACTTGATTAGGCTGTATAAATTGCAGCCCTCGTGTCAACTACTTCTATTTCATTATCAGGAATTTTAGAACACATAGCCATGGTCAAAGCTAACTTAAACAGGAGAATGTGGGAGCAAGGTAACTACACCATAATCAAAGTCATTGCCGCATGTCTAAAAATGTTCTCCAACCGAGATTTGGTGCTACAAAAATATGAAACTACAGATATCTTTAATCAAGTCTGCTACACATTCAAGTCTACAAATATCTTTTATTTGCAAGGTACTGATTCAGTTTAGATTAAATAATGACTGTATTCAGGTAAAAGGAATGAACAATTGACTGATTTGATTTGAGGAAAAAGTTCAGATAAGGTATTTGTGGTGAGCTCTGTGGACTGATTTTTTAGTCCTTTCTCTTTTATGAAGGTAGCATGTCTGCAGCAATACACATGTCAAAGTTGTAGGCAATGGAATGCAATAATGAATAACAAATTCTCAAGCATGGATATTCCCTACTCGACTTCCCTTCTTCCACCTGGATACTCTCGCTAAGAGACCTCCAGAGAAGAAGTTTGAATGGGTAAGTATAGACTATAGACTTCAGTATTCATTTGTGCTGGATAGCCAAACACCCTTCCTCAAAAGTTTCAAATTGGTGTCTTTATCAGTCCATACAACATGTTCCCGGTACCTAAACAAAGGTAGTCAGACCAATGTGATCTCTCTTAATTCAGGCAGGATAGGGAGGAATGGTTGGTGCTTGGTACACAGAAGGCTAAGGGTGTTACCAGTTCTTCATCTCCTCCTCAGTCGCTGTTGATGCAATTATAAAGGCCTGCCATGACAGAGTAGAAGGGAGGATTCATTAGCTCTCCCAAGTTAGTTATCCAGTTAGCTACCTATGCACAATGATACCTAATAAGAGTCATAGCAGTTTCCTTTCTTTTTTTTGGTAAAAAGATAGTTATATGGTTCTCTGGCAAGGCTGGCTATACATTGTACAATGGAGAATGGACCATGGGAAACATTTATGTGATTAGTATAAGGCACACGAACAAGGTACAATATTGTGCTTGTGCAATGCCCCATCACCCCTGTATCTGATTCAGACATAACTACATCCACTCATCCACTTTCAGTTAAAAAAATATATTACATGCATATATTGTGTAAACTGAGATTGTTTCCACCCACGACAGTTTCCACAAGCATTTCCATAGTATAATAAATCATGTAGCCATTTTTCTCCCCATCTCATTCTTTATATCATATCACTTAAATGAAATAAATGTATTATTTCATCATTTCAGCCAGGAAACAATTATGATGTTGACAAGGTGGCCTGTACCCATAGGACAACAATAGATGCTATGCAGATACAGCAAAGGGAAGAAAAGATAGCTCACTAAACGGTCAAATTCCAAGATAAAACATCGCTTCACATCTTCTTTAGTTGGCTTGCAACCACACCTATCCCTCCTTGAGGTTAGGTCTGAGAACTTTGTGTAGGTGTAATGCAGAATAGCAGCCTCCTCCAATTTGATTTCACTACAAAAGAAATATATAACTAAACCATCGAGTAGAAAGAAACTGTAGTTTGTTGACTGACCATTTGTTTTAGCAAAAAAAACTCCACATATTGAGATATCTTACTTTGGGGATTTCATGTAATTATGCCATCTATGAGCACCACTTGGATGCAAATACTCTTGAACCCTTGCAACCGATTTTCCATTACCATAAGTAAGGAAGTAGTTTGGATTACCACGTGTTGCTTCTTTGTATAGACCAAAGTATGTATCCTTCGGAAGATGATCATAATTTTTCTTAAACATGGAAACCTACAGGCACAAAACAATATGACTGTATAAATGATGCAAGCTATCAAACATAGACAACGATAATCAGACCATTCCTATTATTTCCTTCAATGCATTAATGAGTAGTTCTGTGCAGTGTTTGCTAAACTATATTTTTTTTCTAGACAGTGAGTCGATATCTGGTTATCTACAGGTCGCACTTTGCTTCTCAAGTAAGCCAGTGGGTGGATCATCATTAGCATACAGAGCCAAATTTTTCCTTTCTTTTGCATACATGTTACAGATAACAGTAGCTTCTATACCTTAGTGAAAGGATCCTTAATGTCATCACGCTCAATGCTGCTCTCCTGGAAAAAAGAAATATATACAATAATCAGATGTGAAGCACGTTACCATATTCAACAAACATGTTACTTGTGTGACTCACATAATTGGGGAAGATAACCATGCCAACATTGTCAGGAACATCTAAAAGCAATTGCCTTAGGGAGTACTCTCGGGCACCAGCTGGGTGAATCAACTCATCAGTATCAAGGTGAATGATCCAATCCATCCCAGCATCCTGTGACAATCAAATAGGGGACATTCACATCAATCTCATGACTAAATACAAGGCCTTTTCAAAGTCAAAATGATAGCTAATAAAATGACTCCATAATTAGCCAAGAAATAAACTAAGAAACTCTTTTTAAGAAATCTGAGACAAAATTGAAACATTTATACCGTCATATTGTAGACAAGTAAATTAGCATATTTTCTACAGCCTGCTACTGCTAAGAAGATGGCAAACAACACGAAATCTGGGTGCTCATCAGAGGTGGACCCAGAAAAGCACCCATAATTTTCGCAAAAAAAACAAATATCAGAGTTAGTAGTAGAATTAATGCGTACATAGTCTTGTGATTAGATCAGATCAAAATACAAATTGCCAAATAGATTAAGCTAGGGTTCGTCTGGTTCTCGGCTTGGCACAACAGGAAGGGAGGAGAAAGGGTGCTTACTTCAACCATACCACCAAGGGAGCTCGCGCTATTGGGGGATCTCGTGCCGCTGCTTGGGGGAGCTCGCGCTGCCGTCGGAGATCTCGGGCCACCGTTTGGGGGAGCTCGCGCCGTTGCCGGGGGATCTCGTGACACCGCTTGGGGAGCTCATGCTGCCGGTGTTGGGGTGCTCATAGGAGCCCGATAGAGCTCAGGTGCTATGGGCAGGGCACGGTGGCTCTAAGCACGGTAGGGAACGACACCGGCCCAGCTCTGTGTGCAGTGGAAGCGGCGACCTAGACGACCACTGCGGTCGCCGGATCGTGGAGGACGCGCGCTGGTCACCAGACATCGAAGACGGTCACGCGGATAGTCAGCGCGCGATGGTGGCCTGGCCGTGGACCTTTAGGATGGGACCCACCCGCATGGGGATGAGGGAGGAGGGCCATCAGGGCCCGCTCGTGCTGACACACCACCCATGGGGGTGCCGCTGCCCTGCGCTCGCCGTCGGGAGCCTCGGAAGAGAGAGGGAGGGGTGGAGATCTAGGGGAGAAGAAGGGAAGGAGCATCTGCGACTCTGGCCACCTAGATGCGGCCATCGTCGATGAGCCAGAGTAGGCCACTGGAGCTGGAGGGCTACGCGGCGTGGGCGTGGGTGGGCATGGCTGCATGAGGGGCGAGGGCGACAGTGGTGCAGGGATGGGGATGGGGAGCGTCACGTGCCGCGGTAGCCCATGGGATCCAGCGGGTCGCACGATGGGTGGGGGCGGTGATTGTGGCGTTTTAGCGATTTGCGCGTGGACGGGAGGTGGGGATCGCAGGCGTGGGCAGATGGACGAACTAAAACAAATATCGCACAAAAAATGTCTATTCTTTGTTCTTTTTAGTTGTAGGAGATTGGAACCACTTGTTGCATATACTTTCCTTGTCCAAAAATATCTATCTTGAATCCTATGTAGGTCTAGGATCGATCTTTATGCTTAGCCATGCTAAGACCGGTAGAAGTCGGGTGATTTCCTATCACCTGCGATCTATAGGTGGTGACTTGATCACGGTTGGCTATATTGTGCTATCGTGGAACATAACCGGTGATGTTGAACAAGTGGGGACCGAATGGAATCTTATATGTTAGGTGTGGTGACTTATAGTGATTCTGTCCATGTTGTTTAAGGCCGGGCCGTTGGAGGCCCTCTTGTCATGTTGAACGCATGCCTCTCACATAGTTGGCTGGATAAGTCATTCCGACCGTAAAGCCAAGTAGCTCAACTTAGGCTGGGGACACGAGCAGTTAAAGTGCACACCATGGAGGTAGTAAGGATGTGTGGAGAGCCAATGGCGTGAGTCCAAGGGCGGTTTGAGTCCCGAGCCTCCTAGCAGATTGGTAGTATCTTTGAGGGTGCGGCACCGGTCTTACCCGCGATTTGGACCTGAGTTGTACCAAAAGTGACCCGATGTGACCCTAACGGGGGAAGTATGGGTGTGTGTTAGGAATAATTCCCTAGCTGGGTAGGAATCAATTCGAATCGCCGTCTCTCCTGGATAGTGAAAACTTGACATGAGCCCCCTTCATCGTAGTAATTGATGAAAGTGTTGGTTATGTGGGTTATGAAAATGCTGAACTTGATATAGTTACTATTGTGATGATTTAATGGTACACAACATGTTTGGCATAGGATAGATGCTAATCTAGAATGGAACAAGAATAATAAACTTGTTATTCAAAAGTTAAAAGATACTAGATGAATATTGGCTTGTAGGCAAAGGATGTCAACTAGCTCCACTTATAAGCCTTGCATGATCCTTGGTGTCTCTTATTTTTGGTTTATGATGGGTAAGTCTAGCTGAGTACCGTCTCGTACTCAGGTTTTATTTCCCTATTGTTGCAGATAATGTGATGTACCATGGCTACTGTAAGCACTGCTTTGCTCCTGCAGTGGATGAGGAATAGGACCATGGGCATGGTCATTCTATATATCATATCACACTTGTGCTTTTGTTGGAGATGACTGTGAAAACTGGCTATGTGTCTAAACTACTATTGATGTCATTCAGAACTATGTTGCTTCCGCTACTATTAAACTGATGTTGGAACTCCGATGTATGACAAACTATTTGTGAACTTGTTGTAACATGTGGCTTGTATGTTGAATCATGTACGATCTTGGCTTGTATGTTGGTTGATTCGAGATCCTTCGTGATACTCAATGGACTACCGGATTTATATGGGCTCAAGTGTGATGGTTTGACTGCCTCGATGGTTGCTATTGTACTTGTGCTCTTATAAATTGGACAGTTTTGTTACAGCTGGCATCAAAGTAGGATTCAACACTAAACTTGTCACATGTGTATTTAAAACAACGGTTTTTGTTTTATAAACTTAATTTCTACAACGGTAGTAATAAGTTTAGAGTGTTGAAGATTGAATGTAAAACTATAGTGTGCTAGTGGTCATCTCCTTTATGCCTAGTTAAGGACTATTAGGTGGCTATTTAAGTCTAACACAGGGGGTTTTACTTTTGTTGTCCATATGGCGTGCTATTGTATGGGTGCCACTCACTTGAGTGGTAATGTATGGATCAAATGCCTCTACGCCAGGTAAGAAGGTAAGTTGATGAGTGGCAAGACCACAAGAAGTGAGCGTGCGGTCGGGAAGAGCTAGCTGTGATATAGTTGTATATGCATGCTTACATGTGTGTATGGTGTGTATTTAATTGTGGGTAGTGTAATTGATCATCGGGTAGCTTTGATACAGAAATATATATGGGATATATATATGGAAGTATTTAGTTTACTGCTTTCATATATATCTTGCTATCCTTGATATTCAACTTAGAGACTAGATTTACCTTTTTGTACATATAACTGTTGGGTTGGGATGAAATGAATGTTCTGCAGGTACTCTAACAACAAAACATGTAGCTTGTTTAGTTACGATTATATTGAGAGAACGTATGTATGCCACCGCGTATGTCGTTAGTATTTATTTCTCTAAAGTTTGTGAGGACGTACGGAACGAGCATACATCATGATACATCATTCATTCATGTCATTGCATTGTTCCTCCCCCTTGCAAGATCTTATTGTTAAGTAACTCTTTTCTATAATCGTGTTGTCTCACTAAATTGTAACATTTTGCTACAGATGGCAGCCCCAGGAACCCCTATTGCAAGCGACACCTTTTTGGCACTATTTGGTACTCCCACCTTACTGTGGAGGGTACTGCACTCTATCGGGTATGCTGAACCGCCTCGCTATTTTTGGAGTGAAGTGGTAACTGAGGGACAACTGTGGTGCGATGTGCGGGTCACTATCGCCGCCTGTGAGGACATCCCTTAGTGGCAAGGATGGAGTATCGAGTCAGATGGATAGACCCCTTGGGAGGTTGCCCAAGTGGCCACTTTTGAAGTTCTCAATGAAATCTGTCAGGAATTCAGTGATGAGCTTGTCAATGGGCCTGTTGGATCTTTCCCTTGAGTGGATGCATCACAGACCACTTGGACCTAGCCAGGCGGTAATGCTTTGGTAAGAGACTGGGATGAAAGAGCAGGAAGTAGTAATGCTACCATGAGTGCCATGTATGCAGTTATGAGGATGTTTTACTCTCGCCAGGATAGTTACATCAGTTGTATGCAAGAGCTCCATAGAGCACAGGCTACACAACACAGGATGCGAGGACGTGTGCGTAGGCACCGAAGGGCAGTTAGAGCAGCTCAGAATGAGATAGGTAATTATATGATAGCCTTGGAAGCTCGTCGGGGGCAGTTTGTCCATGTTGTTGCCGAAAGAGACGCAGCTAGGGCTGAGTTATAGGACGTCCGTGCTAAGAGGGATGAGGTCATTCGCCTTGCTGAGACTAGGGAGGTAGCTAGGATCTAGACTGTGTTCTAGGCTGCTAGGCAGGCAACGGAGTTTGATCGTAGAGAGCAGGAACTCATACGCCAAATTGAGGAGCTTCAGCTAGATGTTCATCGTCTCAATAATCTGGTGAACCCAATTCTTCCTTCATCTCTAGCGGTGGAAGAAGATCCCAATGTGTTGATTGCTGAGGATGATGGCATGGATGTGGACACTGAGGATGAGCCTGAAGAGGAGGTAGAGGAGCCATTGCAAGCCAATGAATGGCTCAATACCATTGAGCAAAAGTTTTGTCTCTTGAGAGTTATAGACCATATGAAGGCTGAATATGCCTCACATCAGTTGCATGGTCCAACAGGCATTTGGTGGACTCATTACCTATCTACCCTCCCTGCTAATGCTCAGGTTACATGGAATGAGTTTAAGACTGCTTTTAGGGGGCATCATATTCCCTCAGGTCTTATGAGCATGAAACATACAGAGTTTATGAGGCTTACTCAGGGCACCAAAAGTCTCACTAAGTACTTGCATGCCTTCAACAACCTCTCTAGGTATGCGCCTGAGTTTGTGAATACCGATGCTAAGAAGATTGCAAGCTTCAAGAGAGGACTAGGTCCAAAGTTGATGAAGACTCTAGCAAATAACAAGAGTGAGACCTACAATGAATTTGTGAGTGATGCACTCACACAAGAGAATCATAATAATATTTATGCTGCATTCAAGAGCCTCAAGAGGGCCTTTGATGCCAATGCATCTCAGTAGAGAGCTCCAGTGGTGGCAAGAACCCAATACCGCCCACCTGCTCCAAAATGCCAACCACCTCAGAAGAAGGCCCAGCCAAGCCAAGCAACTAAAGGGTATCATCGGGCATACTCTATTGCTCTACTGCCTAAGGGTGGTGCAGGACAAGGCAACTCGAAGGCACCGCCTAACAATCAACCATGTTTCAATTGCAACAAGACTGGTCATTGGGCAAGGGAGTGCCCTTACCCCAAGAAGAACAATCAGAAGCCAGCAGCCGCAAATGCACGCCCGGGGTATGTGCATTACACCACCATTAAAGAGATTCCCTTTGGCGAGGTTGTCACAGCTAGTATGTTTCTTATGAACCATAACCCTGCAGTTGTTCTGTTTGATTATGGGGCTTCACATTCATTCATGAGTCCAACATTTGCATCCAAGTATGATCAAAAAATATTTGTAGTAGACAAAGGTGGTTATTGTATAAGTATAGCCGAGAATAACATTTCTACCAATCAGATAGTTAAAGATGTACTTATCCAAATAAGTGAATGAGAGTATACTACAAATTTAGTGATATTACTGGGATTGGGTATAGATGTGATCTTGGGTATGAATTGGGTGAAGAACCATGGTGTCCTTATCGATACATCGACTAGAACCATTATGTTGAGAGACCCTAGGAACAACAATGCTTTTCTAGTACCCCTTTCTAGGGAGTTTGATCTCCAAAAGGTGGCCAATGCTATCCAGCTTGTGGCCCTTGCTAATATTCCTGTAGTATGTGAGTTTTCGGATGTCTTTCCAGATGAATTGCCCAGGTTACCACCTAATAGGGATATAGAGTTCAAGATTGAGTTAATACCTAGTACAGCGCCTATCGGGTTCATAAACCCAGGGTCCCTAATGGGCCCACTTCCTAGCAAAAGCTTCGCCCAGCAGACGACATTACAAACGACGCACAACTCCTAGGCTGACCCAGATACCTAACGACAGGCCAAAA